GGAAGTGTTGTTGGATTTTTAAAGAAATTAAATTTTTTAAACATTATAGGTTCAATTAAAAATTAAGAGCGACTATAGTTAATCTTGCATAATTTAACATAAAATTCATATTTGCGTGCATTTTGTTCAACAAGAAGTGAAAACAACTGTCATAGCATGAAATAATGTAGATAAGAACGGAAAAATTAGTTTGATTAAATAGGAATTGAAAATTATAACTTAATTTAGAATATGATCAGAGATGATCTCCGTTTGTGATTTTACCATTATGTGGCAACACTTTATTTGCATGTAAAGCTTGATTGATAAATGGGAAAATTTAAATTTATTATTTCATAATAGTTATTACGTAGAATTTTTCCGTATAAGTTTCATTAATCTTATTTTATTAAATTCATTCTGTGAGTGGACAACTAATAACGTAGGATTAATATGAAAGCCATTATTTTCCAAATATAATACGTTTTGACATATGATAGGTTATGTAAAAAAGAATGAAAAATTGTGTATTATTTGTAATATCAATACACAAAGTCGTACTGCAAAAGTTTGTTGTTGTATGATAAACATAATTTTTATGTTTTTTGTGCTTTGTACATGTAGTCTAACAATTAGACGTTTGTACACAAAAGATATTTACACATAATTTTACTTGTACGTATATAAAATGGAAATGCTAAAACAACGACAGGTAAATATTTACTATTTACGTTTCTAATTTTCTTTTAACGATTTTATATAAGTATTTTAGTATCGTTTATTCGTTACTTGACTTAATACAAAAATATTTTTGCACGTAAACAAGATATTTGCTTCTTATGCTTTTATGTAAATTTCAAATTGTTTTACATTACTATATCATATAACAAGAAAAGACTAAGTTTTCTATAGAACAACAGATACCAGATGTCCCAACATTGGAAGAGTTTGAATGCCTTTTGGAAGAATCATCTGAAAATTATCCCACAGGGGAGGGTGTCGAAAATATGGAAAGTGAATTACATTCTGCTGCCATTGACACTGAAAATTATGAACAACAATTTGTTCAGACAACTATGGAAGAAGCAAAATGTTTACAAGCTACAAATGTCAAAGTATTTAATTTATCCTGTTTTCTTTTAATACTATTAGTATGATAATGTATTTTCGTCAAAGTCTAATATTGTTTAACAAAACTTTTCATAAATTTTATACATTAATAAGT